TTTACTGAAAATTCGCCTGTGAAAATAACGTCAGTAAAAGTATCACAAAATGCTCGCTTCGGCTTTTTGTCAGTACTTTGCACCGCTCGCGTCCTCCAGTCAAGTTTCTACCGCATTCGCCAAACAGTTTTCGCCAATACTTCAATGTTTAATCTCATTAAAAGTATTCGTGTAAATACAAGAGCCAAAAGTTCGTCTTTTGTTTGCATTTTTTTGTCGATGGTGTTAAAAGTGCTTGCAAGCTGGTTTACTTCTTCCTTTCCTGGGGCAATCACACAGATTGCTGGTCGCTTCGTATCGTTTTGGAAGAAGACTTAATATAAACTGGCCTTGAAGTTACAATACCATCTTCCCGTATTTCTAGAGTAACTGGACTCATATTTTCACCACAAAAATTTAAGTTTACTGTCCCTATTCTCGCACAAAGGCGACAGTTTTAACCCATTTTTTGAAATGCAAATGAGTGTCGCCAATCGAACCTTGTAAACGAGTTCTCGGAAACCTTGTTCCTTTGAACGAGTTCCGAGAATGCTTACCGATGGAACGCTAAGAGAACGGGAACAGAACAGCACAGAACGGATACAGAACGGGAACGGAACAGATACAGAACGGATACAGAACGGATACAGAACGGGAATGGGAACACGTGTGGAACGGAAACAGAATGCGTTCGGTCAAGCGTTCCCTGTTAGGTTTCTTCTGATCGGTACTGTAGTCTTTAACTTGGGAGCTATTGCTCGACTCCATTACAAACAATTCACCGCTTTGGCAGCCATTTTGTTCACAGTGGTCAGTTATTAGTTTTTTTAATCCAGTAAAGTAAAATAAAACTTTACTTAGCCAGGGTGGCCATAATCAGCATCACGGCCAGAGGGGCCCTGGTAATAAATATTACAAACATAAAAATTGCAAATTTACATGGAAAATACATGTACATGTATGTATATGCTACTACTGTATACTAATATCTCTGGTTTGGAGTTTTGTTACTGAGACCTTACAAACATAGATCAGAGTGGCTACAAGCCACTCAACTTGAAAAATGGATCTTCTGTAAGCAGAGGCAATTTTGATGCCATTGAACTATGTTTTTAACCTGTAGGTCATATTTCATAAGATTATATATCAAGCTAGTAACATAAACAAGACAAGTCTGAGGATTGTTAACATCTCTGAAAAGCAAGTTTTGGTGTTTTACAATGCAAAAAGATTGCAGTAATATTTTGGCTTTATTTCAGCGTCAAAGTCATGTTGTTACATTGGCTTATACATCGAGGCTAATTTAATCCACCCATCCTAAGGACAAAAGGCTTCTGATCAATTATGTCCATGAACAGCATAAAGGAAAGACCTGTACACCATTATTAATTACATTACTTAATAATTGTTTAAAATGTACAATGCACAAATTATGTGTAAATATGCATGCATCCATTACTTTTTAAAATGTGTGTTTTGGACTCACTAATTTGGGGCTGTAATATCCAGGAATGTACCTATCACAAATCATCACAAAACACCAGAAAGCTTCCTGCAGAATAAAAGACAAGGTAAATTTTATTCAATTCCATTTTGGGGGGTTATTTATAAATTAAGAATCCCATACAAACTGCAAAGTTCTAAAGTGTTAGAAATATGATGGTGTTCAAATGTTTCTAAAATTGTAGTTGCTGACAAACATGCGTAAGATCCTAACAAAAGCTTCACTCCAAGTACAGTCCAAGAATAGTGAGCAAAGTTATCACCAGTTTATAATAAAACTGCCTGAAGTTATTTTAGCTTTATCAACTTTGATGGATAGTGAGGGAAAGTTGGAGCAAAATACAAATTTCCTAAATGGGGTCATTAACCAATGAAAATTAAATCATGATGAATTTATCACTAATGATCATAATGAATAATCCCTTCAAGGCCCTTAAAAATGACTTATAACTTATTCCTTTCCATCCCAGAAGAGACAGAGGGCATCCACTTTAGTTCACCAGTTGAATTGTTTTTTGGCCCTGTTGTTTGTGTGTACTCAGTCCTCACAAAATGAAATATTCTTAAAATAAAGCATGGCAATTTTGCACTAAGAAACTTGATGCCCACCAGAAATATTAAAGTCTTAGAAGAAAGCACATGTCAAACTCTCCACATTGAGATCTCATGACATCAAAACTGACCATGTTTTTATCTCTCATCATTCTTTAAAAATGAAGGTGTTTTTAATTTTTCAGGGAAACTGAACAACTTTGGCCCAAAAGAGATGTTGTTCAATACTGTAAGACCACAAAATGCAATGAAAGCTCACCTCTGCTGTCATGTGCATTAGTAGGACTGCTACCACTGGAGCCATTGCCTGTATAAAAAATCAAAGCCTATAGAAAATGAGCTGTTACAAATGAAAAGTGTGAAGTTCTTGAGCAAGTTTCAGTAAATTGGATCAATAGGACTACAGCCTGGTGAAGTGATTAAAAATAACTGCTTACACTGTCTCCTGTTATTCCAATGTGTTTGCCAGGAGATTAAAAATAAATATAATGCAATGCCACTACAATTTATCAATTTAGTCACCTCTTCCTTATTAGCCACACCCTCCTACCCACCCCCTAGTTTCAAGGCACATTTTCAGTACTGGAAGCCATTATTGGTAAACACCCTATCAGAAAGCTTGAACAAAAATGGTACATTTATAACTCTATAGAAACACTCAACTGACACGAGCTGTTAACAAAATGACCACATCAGCAGAAAATTTATGTTTGGATAATCGAGAAGTAAAAGTTTGAGAGAACTCAGAAAAACTGTGGAAACACTACTTGCATGTGAATGATGCTTCCAGAGCTTTTCTTGTTCTCCCAAATGTCTACATGTACTTGTGACTTTTAATGGCTTAAATTGATCACATGATAGTGTTTTTCTGTGGAGGGCCACTATCAGGCAGCAGTGCCCATATGACAAAAATGTCTGGATTGATAGTACAAGAAAAAACCCCCTCCTAACCATATGGCCTCATGCTTCTCCTGTGTGCATTTCAGGTCTACGAAAGCAAGGAAAAGTAGTGTTTGCAAAAGAAACAATTTTATTCAAGGAGCTTAAGGTGGCTCAACACAGTTTACAGCAGTTAGATTTTGATGGGCCGTTATAACCACTCTTTATCACTTGATGCTACAATCATGGTATCAAAAACTACCCAATCACTGGTGAACACATTGTTATCATTATTGTGACACAATAAGTTTCCATAGCAACAATATGACCTGCTAAAAACACCCTTAGTTACAGCTTTAGGATCTTATAATTCAAAAACGGCACAATGAAATTTTTTGACATTCTCAAAATTTGATAAGCATGATAAGACGCAACCTTTGGCAAAGTTCAAAAATTCTATACATAGCGCTCAGAGCCACCTTAAATTTTCAAAACTTTAAGGTGGCTTGAACCCTATGAAAAGAATTCTTTTTAACTTAGCCAAAAGTTGTGTCTTATCATGCCTGTTTTGAGCCACCTTAAATATCTCTCCCAGCTGTGGTATAATAATTGTGTGTCAAAAAAGTTAAGCAACGTTATAGCCTCTGCTTGCTGTTTCCTCAAGAAACATATGGTGCAGCCAATCAAAGTGTATATTATAGCTGAGATGCCCAGGAATTTCATAAGGGCTGTAACCCCTAACACCTGCTGAGTATGTTTGATGGGCCCTTGATGTTATGGGGGAACTTGCCTATAGTTGGTACAATTCACTCAAAAAGTAACAGGTTTGTTACAGGGGTGAAGATCAAGGCTATGGGTGACTCCAAACTTAATGACAGCCCTTCTTTGCCAATATTGATAGTTACACTGAAGATACACTAATAAGAAATTGGTTTTCAAGTGAATTGTGATGTCAATAAAGTCTATCATTTACAAATGATATGATCTTAAACTTAATGACTTTCATTCTCACCTGACAGTAACCTGTTTCAGGGTCATATATTGCGTATGCTTTCAAGATGTTAAACAAATCCCTCTGCCTACAAAACAATGTTATCCAAAATCATGATGCTTGCCTATCTACCATTATCCACCATAATCTAAAACAAAGCCATCAGTCAGAGTCAGATAAGTTCTGAGCTTCACTGCCTGTCATATAATAAATGTACGTCTTTTAAACATTCACTCTACCATCCTGGGGTACAATGCAATTGAACCCATTGAAGTATTATAATTGTCACAGGTTCAAATCCTGTTTTAATCTTGATGCTAAAGTAGCTCAAATCACATATTGCAAGCCATTACATCATCATTAATTTCGGAAATCAATAACATGTCATTTGTAATTCCCATAATCTCAAGCCATTTTTGTACCAATTCATAATGGAATGCTATTCACATGTACAATTAACAGGCGTTTCAATACGTTTTTGAACAGGTGGGCATCAGGGCATGACAACTGGGCACAAAAAGTGCAATGCCCAGAGGGCCTTGCTTAACTAGGGGCAGCCATGTCCCCAGGAAAATTCTGAAATCCTACACTTGCAGAGATGCATTTTCCTGCAATTTGGAGCACAAAATCAGTACCATTTAATTGCCTGCAGGCAATCACTGCATAGTTTAAAAGTTCTCCCTCACAAAGTTTGAGGAAATCAACTTTTTCTGTCTTGCATAGGTATAGGTGACTGTTAGAGCAAGCTGCTATTACAATGTAATAAATTTAGTATATGATAAAAATCCAATTTAAGCAATTTTTTCTTTAGGAAGTGTCAGGAGCCAGTATACCATGAAACAACCAAGCGTTCTTCTATTGAATTCATTGCAATGGGTATTGAATGTTACCGCATTAGCAAGATGGCTGTACAGTATTATCCACCAGACCTGTATTAATCAACAACACTGTGTCAGGCTTTTTCAATAATCTGATTGGTTGTCTAGATATCCACATCTAAAGATGGAGTAGCTAAATACATGTATAAGTGAGATGTGTTACATAGATGGATACCACAGGAAAAATATTTAAAATGTCCAAAAAAAGTGACACCGTTTTGTTAGTTAATAGAGAGGTTAAGCATGACGTTAACAGCAGACGGCAAACGGCAAAGACAACTTCTGATTTTCAGTTCTTTTCTTCTAATCCGTGAATAAAGCACACAAAAATGGAATAACGTCTCCTACTATTCATTGCAAATACAAATAATTTCACTCTACTGTACACACAGCTGAAGAGAGACGACAAAAGTTTCATTTTTGCCRTTTGCCRTTTGCCGTAAACGTCATGCTTAACCTCTCTATTATCCCTAGATTGTTTTGGAAAAATTTCACAAAAATCTGCCAAATCTACATACCCTATAAATCACTTGAGAGCAAGCACAAAGGGCCTCCATTTGGAAATTTTTGTCAAATGCAAGACAACAGCAACATTTTGTAAGATATATTGGTAAGATACTGCAAGGAAGCACCAATTTCTTGTTCATTCATCACCAAGATATCGGCGAAATATCACAACAACAAAGCATGATATTCAATGATCCTCGTTTCTATTACTTTTGCACAGTTCTGTAATTATTACATCACTCACCCTGGGCCATTCTTTTCAGAAAACAGCTCATGAAATGGAAAGGTTCTACTCAGGTCCTTTTCAATTATTTTCTCCCAATCTGGGGATTCTCTCTCCACAAGTGTCTGCAAAATTTATATTAATCAAACTTTTATTTTTCTGTCCCATATCAAAGTCCTTAACTCTGTAAATTTATATACAGTGTGCTTTTTCATGCAAATTCAATAGGATGGAGGACTATTGGGGTAAGAATATTGGGAAAGATACTTCAAATGAGCAAAATACTAGTTCCTGATCGAAAGCGTGACCCTCAGATGTCAATTAGACACAATATGACAACATACCAAAAGACCAGAAAAGAAATCTGTTAACTTCTTGTAAGTGTGGGTAAGGGAGCAAATGAACTCCCTCACACGGTAGGTGAGGCAAGTGGCCCTTTGAAAATACTAAGAAATTGCCTCTTTCCCACTCCCCAGAGATTTCTTTAGTAGTTATGTGTTTGTGCATTTGTATAATTATATATTTAGAAAGTTATTTCCAATAGAAACATGGCTAACATGTGTCGTGGAATCTACTCTATGGTAAAATTCAGAACTTAGAACCAAAACACACCTTTAAAGGAGTAGGTCACTCCAAAAACCGTGTATTTGTTTCCATCACCAATAAAAAGTTCACATTGAGTTGAGTTATTCACCGTTGTTTTAGCTTCTGAAGTGGATGCGATCCCAATGAAAAAGAAGTGAAAAGTTCGACACCGGGAGCCACCATTTTGAAAGGATCTTGAAGGCCAGGCTGCATATCCGTGACGTCATTCCATCCGAATTGGCGCCGCAAAGCTCAAGAAGGAGGTCATTGAAGAAAAATGCTTTCCAACAATTTTTCAACGGAAGGCCCTTGTAAAGGCACATACTGCAAGTGAACAGCGCATCANGTTCTCGGCAACAAACACATTCTCTTTGCGTTGGCATGGTTGCACATCTCTCACAAGTACACCACAGAGCATTTTCCAATCGATCATTCCATTCAACTTGATTATTATCATCCATGGAATCACTAGCACGTTCTGGCTTCAAGCGCAGCCATACTAAAGCTTAAAAGAACAAACACATTCTCGGACGGAATGACGTCACGGATATGCAGCCTGGCCTTCAAGATCCTTTCAAAATGGTGGCTCCCAGTGTCAACCTTTTCACTTCTTTTTCATTGGGATCGCATCCACTTCAGAAGCTAAAACAACGGTGAGTAACTCAACTCAATGTGAACTTTTTATTGGTGATGGAAAAAAATACACGGTCTTTGGAGTGACCTACTCCTTTAAAGAGTTCAAAATGGTAAGGAATAAGCATCATGAGGACTCGACCGATGGTAAAGACAGCAATAATGGCTTAGAAGCAATGATATGGTCCGTCGGGTTGCAAGAAGATCATTTAAATGAAGGGTTCTTCTCAAATACATGTAAAACAAATTGTGCTACAACACTGAGGACAAATTTAAAATGGACTTTCTCATCTAAGGTATGGAAATATCTCTACTTCAACCAAATATATTGCTTATTTAAATTAACATTTTCTTCTAGAGGAATTACTTTGGTGTTAAAAATGCTTGCATTCTGAACAGATGGACAACAACACACATTCGGCCATAGCACAAATATTATATACTTTTGGAGAGCGCTTACATCCACTTCACCATTTTTCATGAACAAGAAAGTGGATCTCTTTGTCATTCGCCTATTAATTATTATGCAGCATTGTAGTTATTGGCCTTATTGCTGCTCTTAAGAGGAGCTTGATAACTTCGCATTTTCCGTTCAGAACCACTCATTTGTTTTGTCTTAATTGTTCTCTTTTTTTTTTGCAAATGGCAGAATAGTATTACTCCATTTCGCAGAGCATAAAAACATTATTAACTAATGCTCCTTATTATTATGAGTATACCATTGTGCTTGACGAGAGGGACTGTTGCATGATAAAATTGAAGTGTATGAAATGTGTGTTTGCTGTATGAACTGAACTGTTAAAGTCAAGTACTTTTGTATTTCACTAATAAATAAAATATTTTGTGGCGTGTCTGCACAAAAAGTCATCAAATGAATTAATTCTTCACAAGCGAAGCAAATATACTGGGAGGATTTCCACTAAAAAGGTGTAAAATTCACTATTTCCATAACCATTCAGTTCAGCACCCAGGTTGCTAATTTACTTTTGATAGCTCAAGGCAACTTGGCACTCATCTGAGAGGGGGCATTTATTAGAGACAGTCCATTTTTTAAGAGTGCATATTAGAAAGAGAGCTCTTATTAGAAGGAGGGTGCTAAGTATGATCATTACTAATGTTAAGTAACTATGCATTTTAAAACTGTTAAATTTTTCTTGATAAACCAGAAGTAAAGTTTAAAACTTTTAAAACTGAAATAAAATATTTGTCTTACAAGTCTGTATTCAATGCAATAAATGTTATGCTAATTCAGCTGTAACACAGAGAGTCGTAAAGCCATGACGTCACAAAAATAACATTTTTAAAATTATGGGATATGATGTCATATTCTTATAGAGTATATGTATCCTAAAAGATGCCCTCATCCCAAAAATTAGCTCAGAATTGCAATTCCCAATAGAGATATAAGGGATCAAAGTTTGATAGCATCCCATACAAACCCTTCAAAATTTGTTTCAGTTCTTTCAGTTTAGAACTGACTCAAAATTAGAGAGATTTATATGGGGCAGTACCAAATTTTCATCCTTTATATTTCGGCTGGAAATTACAATTAGGAGGTAATTTTTGACAAGGACCCTTTTTCAAGGACGCTCTATTCGAAAATGGCGCCAAATCCCATGATTTCTCCCATTTATTTTTTTGTGACGTCACACTTAAGGACTCTATTCTCAATAATGTAACTGTTTTCTGGTAGCTTACTTGTCATAGGAAAAGTTATGTAAAGAGAGACCCATATGGGATTTGAACTATCAGGCACCACCCACCCATCCTTTAATGGAATTTTCAAAAAGTAGAAGATGATGGCGAATTACACTGCACTAAGGATGCGCAGTAAAGAAGTGCAATGTAATTCTGAGGAATCACCTTAATTGCTATTTAATTTATAATGTATGTATACTGTAACTGATCATTTGAGGCCAAGTTGTTTGCAAATGGATGGCTTTAAGCAGGGCTGGAAATCAAAACTTACTTCAAACACTCCATTATTTTGATTCTTTAGTTCCATACTTCCTGATAAGTTCTGCCATGCATGCCCACGAACAGAAGATGGAATACCTTTGCGACATCTTTCCTTCACCTGTGAGTAATGTTCAACAGTGAGGTCAAATAAATTGGATGCCCAGTCATGGTTGTTTTCAAAGGTAATTAAATTACCATAAACTTCCGATAGTAACGACCCCCATTGCCTCTAGTAAATCCCAAAAGTGGCAACCCCCCGAAAGTAGTGACCCCCTCGAAAGTAGCGACCTTCCCAAAAGTAGCAAGCCCTGCCCCACGCCAACTCCACCTACTCGCCAAATATGACTAGACCAACTGTTTAATCCAACGGTATATTTATGTCTCCAGTTAATAGTCAAGTGAACAGGAAAATGAACTTTTCTTCGCATTAAAATTTAAAACTCTTCATGTCATTTTCAACAGGAAGGTAGGTAATAACTGCAACGTTTCAGCTTCAAAAAAAATTGAAATATTGGCTGATTCCCCCATGCAGTAGTCCAGTTAAAGCAGGAGTGCACCTGAAGGTGTGTGGGTGCAAGGAGCTTAACGAGGAAGAAAAGAGATTCCTTGTTTCTATGATATCACAGTGACTGTGAATAAAGGGCTCACAAAAGAACTCCGGGAGAAACTTGCACAACTTGTGCCTACAACAGATAACACGGTGTAGACATGTAGAGGCCACCCAATGTTAGTAACATGAAACTGGAACAATGACATATTATACCTCATTTTGTTTGAATTGCCATCTTTTTTTTTGTTAAAAAAGCTCTGTTGTACCAACTTTATATAACGTTTTTTACTCTCTGAAAGTAGCGACCACCCAAAAGTAGCGAGCCCCAACGGCTGCTAATTCCAAAAGTAACGAGGGTCATTACTATCGGAAGTTTACGGTAATGCACAACTACCAGGCATTCTTATAAGTCAAACTTCTTATTCCCAAATCAATACAACCACCATGCAGGCATGCAAGGTATTTTAAAAGAGCATGTTAAGCATCATATCTCTTTTCTGTTTGCACTCAATCCAACTCGTGTGCTGTGTTTCACATCATAATAACCAATGTAAACAACTTGGTTCCCAGATTCCCGCTCTATTTCCTGTTTTCCTTTGACGTATGAGAAACCAGCTGAGATTCTGAGGGATTTGATTTTGACTTTGAACACTATAAACAGACACTACATTATTTTATCTATCACATTGGCATAGGACGCCGCAATCTTTGCTTGAGAGAAAGATATCTTGACCCCAACAGATTTTCTTCCAAAAATGTGAAAACGAGTGAAAAAGTCCAGGTCAGTGTTCAAAATATAATTTCCAGTCAATTTACCAAGGTTGAGGCAAATCAGAGCCAGAAAAAAGAAAAAAGGCCTACAATTCGACATAGGGCGGATATGCATATGGTTCTTCAAATGTTCACCTTGTCTTTCTCCTGACAATTAATTAATCTAGCACTTAAAATGCACAGGAATAATGAGCTGCTAGAAAGCACAACATCAGCCAGCCAATCCTATAATCTCAGAAGGCTCAAAATTATTGTGCATGCAGATACTTAGATAAGCTCACACTTGACTAATACTGCCTTCTATGTTCTTCTTGAGTAGAAATGTACATACTTGATAAATACAGCAAATTTGCATTAATCTTACATGTAATTCTTTAAGCATTGCATTATTTATTGTAATGTTACACAGCAACCTTTGGAAATTTCTTTGCCATCCACTTGTCCCAGTTTTGTAGCATTTCAACCCACTTTAGCTCTCTATGTCTGTAAACATCTGCGGCTACATCATTGTTTGCCTCACTAAATGAAGAGAAGACAATCCATTAACAAAAATGCTAAAAGAAGAAGTTACTGTTAAGGCTGGTTTTCCACTACAAAGAATTTGCTGAAAATTAGTGAAACATCAAAATCTTTTATTTCCTCAGCAGCGATCAAATGTGTGGGAATAAACATTAAAACAGACACATTCCAGGAGAATTCCCACAACTTCATCAACTACAGATGTATTCTTTCAGGATTTGTGAATAAAATCTTGTGGAGATAGAGTTATAACTACTGAAAATTGGCTGTTATATCTCTGCAGCTGCTAGCCTGCGTAGCAAGCATTCCCATACAAAGAGCTTTTCCGCATTCTGAACTCACATAAATTGGAATGAGAACAAAAATTTGACAAAGCAAGGGGTGTTGGGGCGAGAGAGGGAATGCTTGCCTGCAAACCCCTCCATTTTGAAAAACTCGTTCGCCCATGAACAGGCTCCTGATTGGTGCAGCATGGTCATCTTGATTGACAAGTGTATCAACTTTGCTTGAATGATTCCAGGAATAACTCGAGTGTGACCTGCACAATGTCGTGAAGGAAAGTTTATGAAATAGGGACTGGGGCTGACCATCATGGCGTCGAGCTCACTGCTTTGATAGCTCCACAAACTATGGCGATTTAATGATTTGTAAGCTGAAGTTTTTGGCTATGCACTGTGAACAAAAAGGTTAGATGGACTGTTTCGACACAAATATTTGGCTGATGTAGCTGGACCTGGATTTTA